TATTTTCGATGCGATCCATTTGATATGGAATGCAAAATTATACACACGTGCACAGGTAGATTGAAATTCCATCGATTGTTTGAATTTTTTCTTTGAAAAAATATGTGCGATAACATTCTGTTTTTTATACCGCTATTATACCGCTAGGGAAATTTATCTCTCGCGAATGCTGCGAATGCATTCGCATTTCAGAGCAAAAATTCGAATGTTTGCGAATGCGACCGAATGCGGCTATGACAGCGAACTCGTGACTATATCATTCATTCGTTCATTCCCTCATTCGTGTTTGTGCATGTATTCGCAACGCTGCCGTTTGATTTCTATATAAACCTTCGTACTCGCATTCGCGAGAACATTCGAGAACAGTGAAATGCGACTGCTATACGAATTCGAATTCGAGTGCGAATGTTCACATAGAAATCATGCGGCAGCGTTGCGAATGCATGCCAAACCGACATAACAGCCCATAGTTATACTGTTGCGTACTGATGGGACCACACTTGAAAAGTATATAAGAAGATGCATTCGATTCGAAAGTCCATCAAACAGTTCGTCAATTCTTATCAGTTGATACGTTTACAGTAAACTTTTGATAGTTCGAAGCTAGAAAAATGCTGAGTCGAAGATATTTCACACTGCTGCTCATGGGATTGGTGGTATCAGGTACCAATAATAGGTAATTTTAGTAAATTTTTTGTAATTTTAATGCAGACATTCACTGTGGCTGCATATATAGCTGAGCCTAGGGGCTAACCACGGTTTTATAAATAACCAATAATGACCGACTTTAACATTTTTTATCATTTAAACAAATAAATTCCGATATGATCACATTTTGGTCGATTTTGCCCGATTTTTGCTGTAATTTTTTCACTTTAACGAATGCTTATTGTTCTAGAAGCGGGTTTTGGTGCATTCTTAGGATCGTTCAGAACTGCTCCCGATTCTGGAAGTGGGTTTTGGTGGATCTTTAGGATGGACCAGACTGGGTTTGACAATGCCCTGGCCCATCCTGAGGATCCACTTCCAGAACCGGGAGCAGTACTAAACGATCTTGAGGATCCACCAAAACCCACTTCCAGCATTTTTGGATCGGTAATGACGTCAGCACATTAAACGTTTATAGTCGATATTAAACGATAAAATTCAATATATACAGATTTTTTCAATTTTTTACGGATGTCATTAAAATTGGGCGATAAAAACAGATTTTGTCAATAAAAAATCCATGGTTAGCCCCTAGAGCTGAGCTATTTACAAATAGCTGGCTGTTTGGTAAGTTTTGATTTTGTGACTATCTTGCCATGCAAATTCATGTGGTATCCACGAATTTGGGACAAAAAATGTATGTGAATGATTGAAAAGGTGTCCCACATTCTTGGATACCACATGAATTTGCATGGCAAGATAGTCACAAAATCAAAACTTACCAAACAGCCAGCTATTTGTAAATAGCTCAGCTATATATGCAGCCACAGTGAATGTCTGTTTTAATGTTGCTTGGTATTCTTTTCATTTGCATATTTTGGATTAAATTCTTTCACATTCGACTCTGTCAGTCGAATATTTAAGACAATTTTTTCTGAACTAATTTCGAAAATTGTCCATTTTCAAGTTTTTAGATTGAAAAATAAATAATCTTCTACTCTAAAAACAAAATGTCCATCGGAATCGTTTGTTCGAATGGAAAACAGTTGATAACCATTATATAGAACAAAGACCGAATTGGCTTTCATTTCAAAATCAATTCTTTTCTTAATATTCTTGATTTATTGAGGTAAAATAAAATTTTAGCGATAGTATGAAAAAAGCACACCACGGAGGACTTTTAAGCTTTTGACCAGAACAAACGCCATCTAACGATGGCATTATAACTAGTTTGACCGTATTTAGCAATGTTGTACAAAGATAAAATTAAGATAGATAAGATGAAGATAGAAAAGATAAGATGATATCTTTATCTTTATCTAAATCAGTCACTCAGATTGGTCATCTACAGAGAGGATAAATTTAGGCTCGCAAAATCGAAGAGTCATCACTTGAAGAGCTATAATTTCTCAACCAAACGTCCTAGATAGATCCCATAGCACGCATTCCTTAGCTGTGGAGGTCAGCTTTGAAACCACATATAGTTAAACTTGAATTATAGCTATTTTCGAGTCATAATTTTGACGAAAGGCCTCAAAAAAATTAGTCGTCTTGCAGGCAAACATCCGTATTCGTCTTGCAAAATTACTTCTCAAAAAAGAAATTCAGGTTTTGCTATATGTGGTTTCAAAACTGACCTCCACAGCTAAGAATTGTGTGCTATAGAATATATCTAGGACGTTTGGTTGAGAAATTATAGCTCTTCAAGTGATGACTCTTCGATTTTTGCGAGCCTAAAGAACGAGGAGAACGGTTGCATTCTTGACAACTTTGACATTTCGATGTACACACACATATAAAAACGTATGGCGGATTGAAAAACGTCACCAATGAACTAAACTATCACTTGGTGTAGCAAGTTCATTGAATGTGTGAACGGGTAGCAATATTCGATGACTTCAAAATCATATGAAAAACCACACAAGCGTTGACAGTGCAAACTCACGATTTTTTCGAAATATTTACTTGGAAAACAAATCGTGGATGAAGCCTAGGCTTTGCAGAGCCCGAATATCAACAATAAAAGAAAATAAATGAATATAATTCCCAAACAAACAATGTATATAAAATGTATGGCGTTTCCAATCTCACCACTGTTCACCATAATCAGTCAAAGCATTAATGTGAATGACGCATGACAAAGTGACTTTGACAGCACACGCATATGAATTGTTGTCATGTTTACAGTCGGAAATGTCAATGCAAAATCTCCAGTATCCAGTTTCACTCTACTTTATCCTCTCTGGTCATCTATCTTGATATCTTATCTGAATACTTTTTTCGTTATCTATGTCGAATTTTTTAAATAATTTCAAAGATAATTCGATTTTCTCATAGAAAAATTTCAAAGATAACTAAAAGATAATTGGAAAAAAATATCTCATCTTTTATTGGATAGATAAGATAATATCTCATCTTCATCTAAATTATTTTTATGATTTTTCACAAATAATTTATCTTTATCTAAATAAATTTCAAGTCCTTTTTTACAACACTGGTATTTAGATAGTAAACGAAAATTCAATGCTAGGTAAAAACTTCTTGAAAAGTGCTTGATAAACTTAATAAAATAAATACATTTTTGGATCTTTGCAAGTGCCCTATGATACACACGGAATAAGTTTTTTCTCAGTATTAGTGATATTTTTCTCGAATCTGTGCCATAGATTTTTTACCACTACAAAGAAGTTATTTCATGGAAACCAAAAGTTGGCTGTGTTGGTACGAAATGCGACAGTGACAGAATTTTTTTCTTTTTTATGTGATTTGTATCGGATTGTAGGTATTTCTTTCCGTGTGTGTTCATTGGAATTTCAAACTAATTGAGGAGCTGTCTATATTTCTATGGAAAGTGTTACTGAGTATGGATATGATTTTGCATGAGATTCGCTTGTAATTTTTTAAGGGAATGCGTAGATTTGTATCAATATCATCGTATCCTACCTATACCTTATTGAGTGATGTAAAGTAAATGTGATACCGTATATCCTTGCATCAACTAACACTGTAGCTATTGAACAAAGCAACGCAACCATGGCATGTGAGCCTGAATGTAACGCAAAGGTATGAGTCATGTCGTTTGATCATGATCATTCACATTCTAATTTACATCATGTAAGCGACGGTTGATCTGTGGTCAACTTTGGATCGACTTTGAACCGGATTGTGTTTTGTGCATGCAGCAAAGATGTGAAAATTTTTAAATTTGAACAGCCAGGTGCCATAGTAACACCACTCAACCCTTCGAGAGTGAAAAATATTTACTTTTTAAATTTTTACATTGAATTTGTAGTTTAAAGAAGGTGATGAAAGAATAAATGTAAACATCCGATATTTTCAATGTTTTTCATTCGATGTGAAACGCGAAATTAAACACACGTGCACAGGTGGAATTGTAATTCCATCAATTGTTTTGACATTGTTATCTTGAAAAATGTGTGCGATAATATTCTGTGGGCTTTAATAAGAATCTTCATTGCACGTGGATTGAATCATACAGTGTGCTGCCCACCGACGTGGCCACACTTGAAAAGTATATAAGAGGATGCGTTCGATTCGCATGTCCATCAAACAGTTCTTTCCAATTGATAGGTTCATAGTAAACTTTTAATATTTCGAAGCTAGAAAAATGCTGAGTCGAAGTTCTTTCACACTGCTGCTCATTGGCTTGATGGTATCCGAGGTGAGTCGACAATTTCAGTCGATTTTTTTCAAATTTTTCATGTTTGATACTTTTCGTGGACAATTTGTGATAATTTTTTCTGAAATAATTTAAAAAATGAAAAGCAGTGGCGTAACTAGGGGGGGAGGGGTTTGGGATTCAAACCCCCCAAAATCAAATCCCGTTGAAATTTTGCTCGATTGGTTTATTTCAACAAAAACAACAATACAAATTCATACTTGGTAAAATTTCGCATGATAAAATCAGAACACTTTCAATGTTTAGTTTCAAACCGAATACAAGCAAGTTTTTTTTAATAACAAATGAACGATACCGTTTTATCGTGTGCTGATTTTCGCTGTTTTTTATGCTTCGATCTCCCAAAGCAGATTGATTCAGAATTGTTTATTTTGACTAAAATTCAATTCCTTGGAAATCGTATATGTCGCCATAAATACGGCGTCATTACCAATTTCAGTTAATATAAACAAGAGCTTGGCTGTACTCATAGAATGCATGGGTTTGCAATTCATAACGAAGTGTATCAACAAAAGCCGAATAAAGGCTTGATTTTTTCATGATGCATATTCATTTTACCGTTTATTCCAAATATTTCGTAAACAAATAAGTGCGCGAAGAGAAAAGTATGGAGTGTGCACTGTGCACAGATTGGCACAGTAGCACAATAAAAATGAGTAATTAGAATCATTTATCAATCGACTTTCGTGAAGACCACTCGAAAAATGCTCTGAATCATTGCAATGAATCTGTGTTTCCGAATGTGTTCCAAGTATTGCAAATTTGTGCTTCTCTTCCATGTACAGTTGCAACTGCTGTGCGAACCTTCTCGACGCTCAAGCGTGTCAAACCATACTTGCGCAATGCGATAGGCGATGAAAGGTTGAATAGTTTGGCAAGTATAGCAATTCATAGGGACATAGAAGTAAATGCCGAAGAAATGATATATAAGTTCAATGAAAAAGATAGAACAATTTTATTGTGAAGATCTTGTCACTCAGTCGAATAATGATAATAATGTGATAGTGATTTAAATTATATTCATTTTGTTTTTTGATTCAATAAAAATATAACAAAAATACACACGTATATATATATATATAAATATTTTTATATCTGTGTGTATTTGGTTTACCTCCCGCTTAGTTTTTAATCAGCCACTGAAGAAGAGTGTCCTTTTTTCAAGTTCTCCAATTGAAAAAATTTTTCTATTCCAAAAAAATGTCCACCGGAAACTTTTATTCTATTAAAAACAGTCGAAAACTGTTATAAATACATTTATAATTAATCTCATCCGTTGTTCCCATTCCAAATGTATCACTTTGATTCTATTTCCATAGTTATTAATCGGGGATGTGAGCGGAGCACCACCCGGGAGGAACGGTAAGATTGAAGTTTCATTTATTTATCCAGTTTAACTCTTAAATTCCATATACAAAGCACCTTGTAACGAAGATATGGGAACCTCATTTATGCTAAACTTTTCATACATATTTTAGTAAACGAAAAAGACATAAATGGAGAGACAGCTCTGCATAGAGCTGCTTCAGCTGGTAATTTTGGACATTTTTTTTAAAGAATGTTTTGTTCAATCCGTTTCATTGATCTATGAATATTCTTCAAATTCTTTCAGGCAAAGTGAAGGAAGCTGAAAACCTCATCGCTAAAGGAGCCGACCCTAATATTGGAAATAATTTTAATGAGACAGCTCTGCATTATGCCGCTATGAAAGGTAACGTTGAATACTAACTGTTATTGAATAAAAGATTGACCTGATTTTATCCCATCGATCGGTGCTATTGTTCAGATCACAAGATTGTCGCCGAACTTCTCACCAGCAAAGGAGCCAATCTTGATAGTGAGACTAATATGAAAGACACACCTCTTCATTATGCTGCTAGAAATGGTAATGTTGAATACTTGTTTTCATTAAATAAAAAATTGATTTGATCTCTTCCATCGATCTGAATTATTTTTCAGGTCACAAGAGCGTCACTGAAGTTCTCAGCCGTAAAGCGAACGATCTTGATATTAAAAATAATTTTAATCAGACACCTCTTCATTTGGCAGCTATTAATGGTGAGGTTGACTAAATAAGATATCCCGCCGATCTCTTTCATTGATCCGTATTATTTTAGGTCACGGAGGTGTCGTTGATGTGCTTCTCAAGAATGGAGCTAACGCTGATATTGGAGATGAACAGAATACCACAGCTCTTCATTTAGCTGCATACGATGGTAATGTTAAATGCTTGTTCTTATTAAAGAAACGATTGGTTTGATCTCTTTCATCAATCTGAATTATTTTTCCAGGTCACAAAAATGTCGCCGAGGTTCTCCTCAACAAAGGCGCCAATATGGATGTCATGACTAATTTGAATCAGACACCTCTTCATATGGCAGCTATGAATGGTAGGGTTGACTAAATAAGATATCCCGCCGATCTCTTTCATTGATCCGTATTATTTTAGGTCACGGAGGTGTCGCTGATGTGCTTCTCAAGAATGGAGCTAACGCTGATATTGGAGATGATCAGAATACCACAGCTCTTCATTTAGCTGCATTAGAAGGTAATGTTGAATGCTTTTTCTTATTAAAGAAACGATTGATTTGATCTCTTTCATCAATCTGAATTTTTTTTCCAGGTCACAAAAATGTCGCTGAGGTTCTCCTCAACAAAGGCGCCAATATGGATATCATGACTAATTTGAATAATACACCTCTTCATTATGCTGCTGAGAATGGTAATGTTGAATAGTTATTTTCACAAAATAAAGAATCGGTTTGATCTTTTTCATCGATCGCAAGAATGTTGCTGAATTTCTCATCAAAAAAGGAGCCAAAGTTGATATTAGAAATGCTTCGAATCTAACACCTCGTCAGTTAGCTGTTAACCATGGTACTGCTGACTAACTAAAATACCGCTTTGATCTTTTTCATTGATCTGTATTATTTTTCAGGTCACAATAATGTCGCCAAACTTTTTATCGGTAAAGGAAACCGAATTAATATTGAAGAACTATTGGAATAGATTCAATATGCTGCCAACAATAGTAATGTAATGTTGAATATTTTACTTTTCCGTACACTTTGTTAAGGGAATTGAAATGGAAAGATTTTTTCAATCTACGATTAAATTTTAAATAAAACACCTTAAAGTGACTTTGCTTTTTCAAATTTCAAACATAAATCAATATGAATATTTATTTATAAGCGAACCATCATTTCGACATTTGTCATCCTCAGCGCGTATCAAATTACACTGGACTCAGCTCTCTGTTTGCGATTGTGAGTGAGCGAAAAAAGAAGAAAAGTATACACAGAAAGCAAAACATGTAACAATGTGTTGCGGTGCGAGCGCACGACAAAAAATTACAAAAACTAAAACAATAAAACTCGGTGTAACCGAAACAGCTACTTGAAGTACACCACAGGCCATAAGTTTGGATACCCCTATGAATGAATTTGGCCCAAAATTTTAAAATTTCAAACCGCTTGTCCAATTTCAACATGCTATACGTCGTTGGAAAGGTCTCGGAGAGTACGTATCATTTTTGGTATTAAACATCAAAATCGGCCAGCTTTTGGCCAAGATATGGCTGATTGAAGATTTCGGCCAAAAATTACAAACGGCCATATTTTGGCCAAACGCCGGCCGATTTTGATGTTTAATACCAAAAATCACATCTACTTTTCAAGACCTTTCCAATGGCGTATATAACTTTATAATCCGATGGCCCGTTTAAGACTTTGATTTTGGCTCCCACAGCTCAAAGGCCAAAAGATGGCCATAGGCCGGCCAAATGTTATCTTCCAAAACTTCCATTCGGTCAGAATTTCGATATATTTTCATATCCAATACTAAATTTCAAGTGAAAATGTTCAAAAAACGTAGAATCAAACGTTTCATAGGGGTATCCAAACTTATGGCCTGTGGTGTATATTTCAATCGATCTGAACAGTGGTGACTTCCATCGTGTTCATTGCGATGCTTCTGTTTAAATACATATAGATGCTTTCGTATGCGTCGAAATCTAACAATTATCAACCCAAATACATCCGATTCCAGGCATATATCCAATTTTGAATACGGGGATAGATTTAACCGTAGAAGTAACCGTCATACAACCATTTCACACGAAATCAATCAAAATTCACATGAGGTTCTCAGAATCGGCTGAAATTTTGCATGGAAGTTGGGTTTGGGCAAAAACTCAGAAAGCCAAAATATTTCTCCCGGGTCTGCCTCTGGAGACCCTGTATGGATAGTGCAAAAATTGAAATTGCGTTTTGGTTTTTGTCATTAGATAATATGGGGTTCAAAGATTGCTCAGCCACTATTTGATTCACAATTCAAATACAAATGAGCTAAAACTTCCTCCAAGTCCCGGCGAATCACAACGACATCGTCCAGTGTTATCAAAAACTCCATTGCCTTTCAGTCATTTTGTCCCATTTTCACTTTGTCTTGTACATGGATTGGGTCGATTGCCACGCATTTTTGATTCACGCACATTTTTCCATCGCTACATTTCGATTTATCTGGTGCAAGTCCGGATCAACGCCGTTGATTGACACCGGGTGTCCAAACACAAATCAACGTTTGCCGTTCCACACGGAAGGTTGTTGCCAGCAGACAATATGTACAGGACTGTCCAAATCGGGTGCCACTATGCCACTTGTGGCACCTGCGCTGCTACATAGTGGCACCTTGGCACCGAGAACAGATTTTTTATTTTTTTCCTATTAAATATATTATTCTTCATTCTTTCCGGCATGAAACGATTTCGGATCATAACAAACGCACACTACACTCGATTCAACTAACAAATTCTCGTTAAAAATGAAATAATCAGTTTATATATACAAAGCGCGCCAACGATTATTGTTTAGACTGCGCTGTGTTGCTACTGACACGCGAAGAATCTTGTTTGGTCATGAATTGTGTTAGTTTGACTTTTGTTTGTAAATTTTTTTAAATGTTTAATTGCTTATTCAAAGTGACTTGATTTTGCAATCAATGCAATTTTAATTCATATGGTCAGAATGAATCATTCGTTATACTTATTTCGAGCACCGAAACACTTTGATAAAAAATATTCAATCATTTGAGTTGAGACGGTGCACTGTGAACGATCGAAAATGGAAAAATACTTTCTAAGAAAACGAAAGCCAGAAACTGAATCAAATTATGATTCTAATAGTAGTGATAAACTTCCAGCTCCGCAAAATTCAACGGAATCATCATCAGAAAGTGCAACAGCATCAGCGACAGAAAGTGCTACAGGATCAACGGCAAAACATCTAGTAGCTCAAGCGTCAACATCAACACAAAAAGTGAATAGAAAATTCAATGTGGAATGGGAAAATCTTTTCTTCGCTACGGAACAAAAGGGCAAAACAATTTGTTTGATATGTCGACTTGAAGCGTCATTTTGATAATAACCATATTGAATACGATACCAAGTTTCCATTATCTTCCGATAAGCGAGCCAATGAAATTGTACGGCTAAAAACTGGATTTGGATCCGAGCAGAAAGTGGTCAAACAGTTTTTAGATTCAAGTGAAATCGTTGCACGTGCTTCTTATGAATTGCATTCGAAATTGCAAAGCACGGAAAATCGTAATCGGACGGCGAATTTTCTAAAAGTTTGTTACATTGTGGATGGCAGAATAGAAGAAAATATTCTCACCTTGGAGCCACTCACGGAACGAACTAAAGCGGTTGATATTTTCAACACATTCAAAGCTATCGAAAAACTATTCAATTAGGATTTGAAGAAACTCGTTTCGGTCTGTCGCGGTGGTGCGCCTGCAATGATTGGTGTTTATGGTGGTTTTGTCGCCTTGCTGAAAAAGTACGTTGCTGAGAGAATTGAGAATCATAAACTCATTGCATACCACTGCATCATTCACCAAGAAAATTTGTGCGCCGAAATCGTGGAAAATGATTGCTCTGTTTTGACTACAGTCACCTGTATAACTAAGTAAGTGAATAGCTGCAAATGGATTTTTATTTGTTGTCCCTTCTTTCTTATTTTTCGTACTGATAAATACGAAGCGCGACACTATATGGGAATTTGCATGAAAACTAAACACACACGCGCCCTCTTTTTGGACATTTTATCATTGAAACCCAAGTAATACATGCAAACCAATGGCAACACATATAATACGACCATTCCACACCAAGTGGGACAAAAATTGCAAGTGACCTCTGCGATTTCGCTCAAACTTGGTATATAAACTTCTTATGGCCAAAAACTCGCAAAGCCAAAAAATTAGGGTGACCTTCCCCACCTGATGAAAAGTTAGGGTGACCCAAATATTGAAAAAAATGGAAAATGGCACTTTTTGACATTTTTACACTAGAAAAGTGTGGTACAAACTTTCAAAACTATATGCATGGTTGGATAGATAATCGATGGGGCTTCAAAAAAGTCCACTACGACAACCCCATCCGGGCTCATTCAAGCTCTGAAAAGTGGGTTCAAAGTATAAAAATGGCAAACTCTTTTTTGACGTGAAATTTTTTTTCGAATTTTTGGACTTAAAACTCGGCCCACCTCAAATTCTTGAGTTTTTCGATATTCCCCAACTATCCGCCAACTCATATTTTATGAGAAAAAAATTCGGTGTTTTCACCATTTACCATTTTTTCATGGTTTTTCGACTACTTATTTTTTTT